GACCATCTTGCTCAATCCGTGTCGCTGTTTTCCATCGTCACCCATTCTCATTTCCTCTTTTGTTCCCTTTTCCATAATTTTTTTTAAGTACTCATTACTTTACAGGGCAGTAAAGTAAAACACTATAGAGACGAGCTTCTTAAACCATCGCAAATAGTGCGCTAAGTGTAGCGATCTAGTAAAGTACCTTTGGCAAGCATTACTTCAGTCGATGAATTTTCGTTCAATTTTATTATTTCAGCGTAGTTAGTACATTTTTAGCCTTTAGAAACTCTAGGGCAAAGCGCAAATTCTTTAGCATCACGTCTTCGTCTAAAAGTGGAGAATTGCTACCCCCGTACGGAGGCATTACACGTATGCATTGTGCGCTTTTTGACCCTGTAAGAAGATTAATGAAAATTAAGTTTGATTTGAAGAGCGAACAAGGTATTATTAGATCATTTACGGGTTTGCTTATAATAAAATTTGATTTACGCCATCCTTTAGGGTGCATTGGATGAAATTCTCAGTTTCTGTGTGAGCCGTAGGACATTTCTGAAAATAAGATACATTGTAAACTCTCAGCGAGTTTGTTCTACTTTTGGAATCATAACAACCGCCAGTTGATGGGTGTCTGAAAGAAGAAAAAAACATTGAGTCTTACATGTAAACAAATTAGGTTTCAAAGTCGCTTTGTAACGTTGTCAGGTAAAAATTGCTTCCTAACCGGAAACCATCGATTAACAAAAGGGACAACAATGGTCGACTAGTGTTTTGAGGAAAAAAGGCCGCGGGGTCAAATACCGCCATTGCTTTGCGAAGCCGTCTTGGCTCCAAATGACCAATTTCAAAAACACACACACGTGTTGGGTTTCAAAGTCGATTGGTAATACTGTCGGTCTAAAATTGGTTCCTAAACCGAAACCATCAATGAAAAGCGGACACGTTATTTTGACTTCACGGTGCGTGGCGATATACGGTTTTGTGCAGCACAATGAAAACATTCTTTTCAACAAAGCTACGTCGTTGACTAATGAGTATAAAACATTCACACAAAAGCTCTGATTTGATTTAGCAACGGCGTCTAAACAACTTATTCAAAACATTACAAGAATACACAATAAAAATTACAAGAATTTAGAGATAAGTCCTCGTCTTATGAGGAACTTTTTAAGCGTATCGGTCTCTCAAGTCTTCGTGAACAGCGATTAGCGAAAATATTGTTCACTGTCTTTAAGATATTAACCAGTGATGCAGGACCAAAAAGCTTACGTGATCTTATAACAGTTAGGTGCTCCACTTATAACCTTAGGGGCCCCCACAATACTGGACCTCCCAGAAGTAAAATCAACAACTTTCGGGTTAAGATTAACGAGATATGCTGCATCGAAACTATGGAACGCTTTACCGGACGAGTCTCGAAAGATACAAACATTTACTACTTTTAAAAATTACTTAAAATCATTAGATCTCACGGGACTCTAGCGCGGTGAGGATCTACCCTTAACGTTATATTTCCTGTTTTTAATGATTACATTTTATATATTCAACTCGGTGACTACATTGTTAAATTCTTATATTTTAATATTAGCTTGTTCTTAATCTTAATTTATTTAAATTTATATATAGTCTAAACGTCTATAAATCTATACCTTCACAAGGCTTTATAATTTCCTTTTCTCTTTTTATTTCGTGGTTTACCCGTAAACTAGCTTTTAGCTAAGCGCTCTGACCACGTTAAATAAATTGATTGATTGATTGATTGATTGATTGATTGAATAGACGAAAGGCTGTAATCAAACTTTGAAATAAAGAGAGCCAAATTTGCTGTGTGATCAGTTTACATACATACATACATACATACATACA